ATCCTTTCTCCTACATGCTCATGACACTGATGGGGGTCTTCAGCCAGCAATGACTGGCCGGTGGAGAACAGCCAAATGTGGCCGCTCTGACAACCCCCAACTATGTGCTGGAATTCACTAGAAAAGGAAGGGAAAATAAGATGACAAACATTGCAATGCCTGTTTGCCAATTTGTGTTGGCCCTTTATTTTGGAATGCTATCCAGTGTGAGAGAGCAAGGCGATCAGGGAGGAGAGGGCGCATTCCGGGAGGGGAGAGGAGGCAAGAGGCAGCAGAGTCCGCAAGGGGAGTGTGGGAAGTGGAAGAGGTCCAGGATAGCCACTCCCTGGAATCTCCCAGGGTAGATCCACTAGGTCAGAGTACAGACTTAGTCTGGTAAGATTCTGTCTATATGGTGTAAGCAAATAAAGGAACTGGACTTTTTCACCGTTGTTCTTGGGCTGGGCCTGACATCCCTGTTTTGGTTTCATCCCTCCAAAATATCTCACAGAATTGGAGAAATTGCAGAAAAGGGCAGTCAGAATGATCAGGGCAACTCCCACATGTGACTTTCTCATGCTCTGCCTTCTTTCTGGCCACAAAAATAACGATTATGAAGAGTGGAGATTGGAACCTAGAATTCCAGCCAGAATTCTAGGACGGTTATGATGTTTCCTCTATTTCTTTGTTTTAAAGGTTTTTAAACCCATTTCAGCTTACAGACTCTCATGAGGCAGTTCCCCAAAGTAAATGCAATGATTAGTATTTTCAATATAAATTCAACCCCTAGTCATTGAGCAAAAAGGCTACCTTACAAGCTAAGTTAGGCAGATTGGAATAAAAGATATATTCAGAGGTGTTTTTTTTTTTCCAGAGGGGGGTTGTCTTTAAGGCAACTGCATTTTGTGGGAGAGACTTTATCTCAGGCCTGATTCTCCTCTGGAAAAGTTGCAAGTGGGAATTCTGGGGGTGAGCCGCAGCCTCATAAACAAGCAGTAAATAAACCCAACTACTGTATCATTTCATAATATTGGCCCAGCAGCCCTAATGGAGAAAAGAATACAAATTGGTTTAGGCAGTACTGGAACTTCTTGGACGCTTTGTCCAAAATGGAAAGATTTAGCATCAGCATCCAGTAGAAACCATTGTGGCATTACACTCTGCATGACATCACTTGCTGTCCGTTGCCCCGGCTGGGTTCCCACCCCTGTAAAGGCAACAAGCTCTCTGCTGATTGCGGGGCCCTGAGCAAATCCATTGAGCCTGGCCTAGGAAACAGGTCCCCAGCAGAATTCCTCCTTTCACCATGATCTTCATCCAGTCCTTGGCCAACAGCATTGTCAGAAGCTGTAGCAGTACTTTTACAAGGTTGCCACGGTTGATATTAAGCCAACAAGTGACTAAGCTGAGCACAATTCCAATGCTACCCGTCGTAAAATTCCATGTCTTCCATTGAAGACTCCGTGTCAGATAAAAAAAATGCTGGGAAAGGTCCAGAAAGGTCTACAAAAGTTGTAATGAGACTAGCTGTGCTTCTCCCAAGAGGTGAGGAGAGGGGTCTTCTGTATCTCCCTAGATCGAGAGAGAGGCAGCCAAACCCCTTTCTCTGATGACCTGGAGTGACCAGGCCACTTCCCTGTCCACATTCCCCAGATTTCTGGTGACAGTTCCAGCCTCTCTCCAAATCCGTACGCAGAAAGGTCAGCAGCTCTGTGGAAAGGAGACGCAGATCAAATTCTCCAGCACTCAAGTCCTTTGGACGATGTGACTCAGCCTCTCATGATACTGTACAAGAGCCGCTGTTCTTTCACAGCAGCTGCTCTGAAATCCAGAAAAGGTGTGAAAAACACGCGCGCGCACACATGCGCACACACACAGGGAGCATTCATTCTCTTGGGGGAAGTGAATTATTTGAGCATTTTTGGAGAGGAGGAATCCACCCTGAGCAAGGAGTAGCAAAACAGCAACTTGTAACTTACATAGGAAGGTTCACTGAATGAGATCCATGGGATGAGTGGGGGAATGACAGAGAAAAGCTAGCCCCTTCCTCTCAGGAGGACAGTGAAAGAGCAAAAGCTCCAGCTGTGAGACCCTAGGAAGGAGGGCAGAAAGTGACCTGAAATTAGCCATTCCTTTAACAAAGAGCAGACAGAACAACAGGCAATGAGAAGACATGCAGTCAGAGTCAGTCCCTAAGTCCCTATTTATACCCCACCAAAGTCACTGCCACCAAAGTCACATTTCTCACGTGTCCCTCATCTGGGAGCATCTAGGGCAGTGTTTCTCAACCTTGGGAACTTTAAGACGTGTGGACTTCAACTCCCAGAGTTCCCCAGCTAGCACAGGAGTTGGGAGGTGGGAGTTGAAGTCCACACATCTTAAAATTCCCAAGGTTGAGAAACATTCATCTAAGGTGACTTAGACAAAGACTCTGGATCAGGGTGGAAAGCACTTTTTCCCCAGAATGTCTGTCTTCACACAACACATTCACGCATGGTGAATTTGCTAACTGGCTACCCAGCAAACCCAGCTTCCTTTGTGGATCTGCTGAACTTAACCTGAGCGCACCGGCTACATTCATACAACACACTAGGCCAAAATGTGGTTATTGGAGCTGGTCATGTTCAACATGCTCAAGGGCTGAGAAGATTGGGTGGCATATGTCAAAAAGGCTGTCACAAGCCAGGGGGGAGGGAGGAGAGAGCAGGACGAAGACCCAGCAAGCTGGAATTGAGAGAGATTCAGGTTGACTATTTGGATTTTCCCACCAGAGAGAGGTGTGAAGCAAAGGAACGGTCCGCCTTGAGCAGGGGTGGACTCGCTGGAGGCTTTCAGATGGGGGTGGATGGTAACCTGTCAGATTTCTGCACTCTCTTCCAACTTGTACATGCTATGGTTCTGTGATTGCACAGAGATGACATTAAAAAAAAAAATGTATACATTCTTCCGTTAAAAACCCTCAGTTCCATTTCCTTTCTCTTGCGGTTTCCTCCCTTGTTTTAATGCACTGTGGGCGAGATAGGTAAATATGCCGATGCTGCAATAAGGCTTGGGGCAGCAATGAGATCTTGCAGGGCAGGCTACTTTTGGATTACAGTCACATTCAGATCTCCTGGATGAGCAACCCATTTGTATCCATGGCAGTCTGACAAATCCATGGCTGTCATGACAAATTTGTCATGACAAATACGTTGCTCAAGGAAATGTGGCTGTGGCATTTCCAAGTTGTACTGCTCCTGCCGGTCACTGGGTCCTTCCTCAAAGCCACATTCACATGCCACCTCTGGTCCTTGAGTCACTCAAAAGCCTGCCAGGCAAATTATGCTGCTCCAACATCTGAGCACCAGGTGCCAAGTGGCACCGTCCTTGCAGCTTTAATGAGGGACAAGTTCAAAGTGGCTGGGCTGCTGGACATCACCTGCCAGCACCAAAGACAACTCCAATTGCTCTTCTGAACATGTGGAGGGCAGAGTTGGGCGAATGGAGACCATGCCTGGGATCGAGGGCTTGGGCACCTGTCTTACAGGTGACAAACAGGTTACAGGCTCAGTTCTCTGCACCTGCTACCTGTCAGTTGGGCTATTTCTGAGCACAGGTCTAGCACTCTTTGGAAAGAGAGCACCAAGGTCCCAAAATAACCCAGCTGACAGATTGCAGACAGAGAGAAGTGGGTTGAAATTGACCTTCTGTGCAACGCAGGGCAAACGCTCTCTCAAGCTGGTCCCTCTTTCAAGCCATATATGCTTTGTTGAGGATAGGTGTTGACCATGTCAAGTAGCGGAATGTCCTTAGGAAAGTGAGAATCCCAGAACATCTCCTTGTCCTCGTGAGAAACTTATCTACAGGTCAGGAAGCCACAGTCTGGATGGGACATGGCCAAATGGGCTCCAGGTTGGCAAAGGAGGGTGACCAGGCTGCATCCTCTCCCCACATTTATTCAACCTCTGCATGGAATATATACTGAGGGAAGCTGGATCGGAAGATGAGCAGAGTTTTAAAACTGGAAGAAACGTTGACAACCTGCATTATGCTGATGACACGACCCTGATGGCCGAAAATGCAAAGGATTTGCAAGCTCCGGTAATGAAGGTCAAGCAGCACAGAGAAAGAAATGGACTACTAAATAAAAAGACTAAACTAATGATGACAGGGACAGCAACCAGCCTTTAGAATTAACAATGAAGGTATTGAAGTGTTAGATAACTTCTGGTATTTAGAATCAACCATCAACAGAAAAGGGCTAGTGCCTGGCAGAGCAGCCATGAAGGCCTTGGAAGAGATACCCAGATGCCCTGATGCATCTCTTACCTACAAAGATCAGAATCGTGCAAGCCGTGATGTTCCCTGTGACCCTCTATGGAAGCAGAAGTTGGACTTTGAAGAAGCAGGATAGGGAGAGTATTGACGCTTTGGAATTTTGGTGCTGGAGAAGATACTTGAGAATGCCGTGGACAGCCAAGAAAACAAACTGATGGATCATATTTGTTCTTGAGTTCACACTTGAGACATAAGTGACCTGGCTCAAATTATATTTTGGACACATGAAGGAAAACCAAGCTCCCTTGAGAAGACTATAATATTGGGAAATGTGGAAGGAAAAAGGACAACCAGCAACAAGATGAATGCCTGCAATTAACATTTCTACCATTTAACTATTTACTATGCAGTGCTAGACTAAATTAACAGCTAAGGTTTCTGGCTTAGCAGTAGCAATGGGTCCACTGTTGGAAGAGCCAAAGGATGGGAACTGGTCATCCTGGAAAGTCTATCTCTGTGGTCACCATGAGATGGTACGTAAGTGATAATCACATCCCAACCCTGGCTGCATTATCAAGTATCTTTCATGGTATCCACCACTAAAAATTGTGTGGGAGAAGAAAGAAAATACTGCTATAAAACTGGAATAGCTAAAAATGACTTCATGCTGCCTCTGTGGTGGGCCGAGTGTGTCATGAAAGTGTCCTAACCCACCCAAGAGATGCTGCAGATGCAAACAGCCATGACTGTTCCCAAGTACGAAATGAAATGTTTAAATCTTTCTTTATTGAATATACAATGTGGTATTACATGAATAGTTACAGAAAAGATTGCCTATTAGTACTAAAAGCAGTAGTATTTTACAAACTTCATCCAAGTATAAAAATGCATCTTAAAAACACAATTATCAGTGGAATATAAAATAAGATAAAAAACTGCCCATGGTTGTGTGGTAAATAAGTCACCTTAACTTTCAATTATATACACAGAGTTGTTTTCTAAAGGACAGTGTCCAGCAGGCTTTTTAAAACTCAACCCTACATGCTTCTGCTAATATCCAAGAGTATTTACACCAAATCTGTACATAGATCTTTCTGTTTCCCACAGGTCCTGAAAAGCAAAAAGGAAGAAATTGACATATAAATTATGGAAATAGATAATTATTTCACCGCAAAACGGTAGAATTTCCTCCCTCTCCCCTGAATCAATCAGGAATATATTCACCTATGACGAGTTCAAGAGTGTGTTCTGTATATCTTCAAAGACTTGTGCATAAAGTTCATCTCTGGACTTCAGTCCATCCAAATAAACTGAAAATAAGAATGAATAATTACAAAATTTGCATGTAATTATATTGAGTGAACTCCAATTTTCAGCAGGCCTATAGAGATCTATCCCAGTAATTAGTCAAGATGTAGCACCATCATTCTCATCGCATTTCTAGGAAAAGCTTCAGTGAGACTTCCTTAAGAATAAGTAGGGTTAGCATTGTGCTGTGAGAGCTCAGAAACAGGAAGAACAATGTTTTCCTGGACGTGAGATGACTGCTCCCATCCCAAGGGAGAAGCAAGCAGCTTGCTTATCGTGTTCTTACCTGAAATTGTTCACTAAGACATTTTTGAGTGCCTAGCACTCCATTCATTCACATTTATTAGACACAGCCCTTCTTAACTGCAGTCAAGTTATTGCCAAGTGTTTCTTACCAACATTGACTTCATCGGCCTCCATTTCCTTCCTGTGTTTAAGATACATTGGCCAAACGTGACCGTCAAAGAGACCGGGAGGGTCAGGAACTGTGTATTTACGTGTACTGAAAGAAAGGAAGAAAGATGTTGAGCTGTACAGCACTAGAGAACAATCAACTTCTCTTCAATAGTTTGCAGTATATTTATTATAACTTGTGCCACTTCTTATGAATCAGCTAAATTTCTTGTTAAGTTATACTTTCTTTTCTCCAAAAGCTGAATGGCTATTCATAACATATGCACCATTCTTCCATTAAGGCTGAAGCTATTCACTTATCTGGGGTTTATAAGCTGAAGTGTGTGTGTCCATGAGCGTGCATGTATGCATGCATCTGTATGAGTGTGAGCACACACCTTCAAGTCAATGTGGACTCCTGGCAAATGGTTTGCCATTGCCTCCTTCCTAGGGCTGAGAGAGAGTGATTGGCCCAAAGTCCCCCAGCTGGCTTCACGCCTAAGGCAGGACTCGAACTCACAGTCTTCTGATTTCTAGCCTGGTGCCTTTCACTACTACACCACACGTGTTCTCTTGTAAGCCAATTGTCCAGTCCAGAATTTCAAGAGCCAGAACTGGCAAGGCAAGTAATGCTCTGAGCCCTCGTGGAATTGCAACATAAACTTGGAGCCAAGACCTGCCATGGTCAAGATGGGGAACAGAATGGCATGAAAAGGTCTACGCTTCAGCCCAGGGGCAGGTACACCGTGTAGACAACTTGATTCCTATATTCTGCAGTGGACAGATCTTCAGGGTCCAGCTGCGTTCTCTCTGGCCATAGTATGGTAAAGCTACTCTTCTAGCAACGTTGAGCCTGTGAATCTAGTTCCTAAAGGTGGGCTTGAGTTTCTGAAGAGAGATCGACAGCTGTCCCTGACCAGAAATCTGACCACACACTCCAAATAATGCCGCCGCCTCTTCCTGGTTTCCCCAGTGCGGTGCCTGTAGTACGGGGCAGCCTGGGGCAGCTCAGCCATGCCATTAATTGCCCCTCTGCCAGATGGGCCACCCGGACAGATTTGGCAAAAAACCCCTGTACGCCACAAGTTAAAGGAAGGCCCTGGATCTAATAAAACTACATCGTCATTTATGAATTCATATGCTGCCCAACTCCCAGTGACTCTTAGCCTTCAGCTCTGAGAATTGCCCCTTCTAGACAGAGATTAAGCCCACCGCACTGGGTCCGGCAGAAGGGGCATGTTGCAGACCCCACCAGTCAAGGGACTGGTGGGGTCTAGGAAGAGGGTCTTTTCTGCTGTGGCCCCTGCCCTATGGAACAGTCTGCCTCCCGAGGTCCAGTGTGCCCCCACTCTCATGGCCTTCAGGAAAGGGGTGAAATCCTGGCTGTGCCAGAAAGCCTGGGGGCCGGATGAGGGCTCACACCAGTGGGGTGGCTTGCCCCCCTCCATCATCTTGAATGTTTTTAGTATTTATGTACAGAGTTTGTTTTTTATAGTTGATTTTTAATGGATTAATTTTTTATTATTTATGGAGTATTTTAAATTGTTGATGGGGTTTTTGATTTTAGCTGTGAGCCACCCAGAGTCACCCGTTGGGGGGAGATGGGCAGCATACAGATTAAATAAATAAATAAATAAATTTAAGTTCCTTGAAAAGAGGTGTTTGGGAGTGTCGTGTTAATAAAAGCTTTCTCAGTCTACAACCTCCTTACTTCCAAGGGACAAGGCAACGCCTGAGATCACAAGACCGGCCTTACCTCCTCCTCCGTTTGCATTCATCATAAGGAACGGCTAAGTAGTAGCGCTTATCAAACAGGTCCACCAGAGGCCTACAGGAAAGAAAACACGACCAGGGCGTTTCGCACTTGAGGCATCCGATCCCATAAACCCACATCTTTCCACTGGTGCTTTTCAGCATCCTGAGGCTACATGATCTCTTGGGACACTTCCAGGCAGCTCCCATTTTGGTCCCCCACACTCTCAAAATAGCTCTAAACTGTCCTCATCACACTCGTCTTAAAGACCTCCAGCTGGCTTATGGGTGGGGGGCACACTGCCTGGGTGTCAATTTCTACATTCTCCTATAAACCAGCTGGAGGGAGAAACTCGTCTGCACTTTGTGCTGGGCGATTAAAACAGAAAACAAAACTGTAGTCAAGCAGCCACCCTGCTCAGTTTAAGAACGCCGCTGTTAGGACCCTGGGACATCGCAGTGATTCATCAGTTTGGGGGAAGAGAAGAACCAGATAACCAAACCAGCCCACCTCCAGGCTGCAGCAGTTGCGACACCAAAGTGTCTTTTGCGCTGCAGCAGGGCTGGACATGACTGGCTTTGCCACCCAGCAGAGGTGACAGGGTGCCATTGTCGGCATCTAAGAGTGGGGGACATGCCTTTGATGAAAGAGGTTGTTCCCCCCCCCCGTGAAAGATCTAACTAAACATTTTAGCCACCTTAAGGAACTAATTTGGTATAAAATATCACTCAACTGCATCTTTCTTAGGAAAAACAAATTAGATAGATAGATAATTTACGTATGCCACCCTGAAAAATAAATAATCTCAACCTGTTGATTAGAGTGGGATAACAATAGTTCACTCACAAATCTCGAAAACATTGATTGGTTTTAGCCATTTTAGATTTACTGATTAGATTCATTTATTTATTATTGATACAAGTTGTAGAAGATATGTAAAGAGAGTGACCTGTCTTTGGCAGGGTGTAACAGACTAAAATGGCTTCCAGACCTTTTGAATACAATTCTCACCGTCCACCACAAGTGAACCAACATAGTGCACCATCTTTAGAGAGTGCCGGCTTGGAGAAGGCGGGACTGTAGCTGATAAACAGCAGGATAAACATAAAGAGCACAAAGACTAACTTCATGTTGATCCCAGAACAGCTTCATAAAATTGACTATATTTCTTTCTTTTTTTTTACAAGTGTTATTAAAGAATTTACAAAGAACATAAAAACTAGCAGAGACTAATAAAGAGTAAAAACAGCAAAGAAAGAAAAGAAGAAAAAAGTGTAAAAAGAGAGAACAAAAAGAGAAAGAAGAAGCTTCTGATTTCTTTTGCAGCAAATACAATTACAAAATTAACTAAATTGACTAGATTCCCTGTAAATATGCCAGAGAGCAACCTTGGGAAGCTCCTTAAAGATCTAAAGCCGTGTTTTTCAAACGTGGCCACTTTAAGGTGAGTAGACCAACTCTCAGTTCTACCAAGAGTTGCCAAGCTTGAAAAACACCAATCTGAAGGCTTTAATAGCTTCCAGAACGTATGTCCCTTCTTTCAGTCCCTGGCTCTCTCTGCCAAAGCCCTGCTAAGTGTTAGTGTAAGCATGCAGGCAGCGTACCAACGGAGCGACTTAAAACTGGTCCTCTGGAGAGGAAGAACATTGGAGCTAGGCTTCTATTTACCCGTATGCGCGTTCTGGTTTTCTAAGCACACTTTCAGCGACTTTCCGTGACTTTCCAAAGCTCAAATTAGCCCTTGGAAGCCAGTGGATAATTGAACCTGGGATTATATTACCACGTGAAGCTGCTGGTGATTGCTAGACCTCCCCTCCATTCCCTAAGTCTTGACTAGCGGTGCTCCCTTCAGATCTAGGAGAAGGTTTCTCTGGCTCCGCAGAGCTTCAAGAGGTGGCTCGTTTTCAGCCAACCTTTGATTGAAGCCTCTCCTGGCAGAGGTGATACAGCAGGGATTTGGGGCAGGGGAGGACTCCGTTTGGCAGGGGGAAGGAAGTCACCGAGGTTGATGGCCTAGTTGCCAGAGCGGACAGGGCTGGATTATTTATAATATTTAATGGCACAGTTTCTCATCTATTCTTGCAGTGTTTAGCTTTCAAGGCACAATTTGAAATGGGAACTTTTCCTGTAGTGTATGATAAATGTCTCCTGCACAAATAATCCATTACAAAATAAAATGCATGCGTTTTTCAATCTCCTGTGAATGAAGCCACATTCTACTTTTTCTCTAAAAACACAGATTATACAAATAAATCATTCACAATACCCAGAATTGGAATCACCAGAAGAAATAGCTGGTCACTGATCTTAATTTACAAGAAGTGAGTCTTTGATATCAGGTGTATTAAAAAGGCAAATGGGTACTTTCCTTCATGATAATTCTACAGTTTCAGCATTAATTAATCAATCAATCAATTCAATTTGTGAATCACTTTGTAACCAAAACTCTTCAGGAAAGGTCCATGTATTTCTTTGACTCACTGACTAAACTAAAATCCACTGAGGACTGAGGAAGTGTCCACAGCTTGATTTGGTGAATATTTTAGGGTCTAATGCAAATATTTACTCTAAAGAATTAAAGGTATTTTTGTTGATTGCTGCTAGAATCTCCATAGCTCAGTGTTGTCCAAACTTGGCCATTTTAAGATGAGTGGACTTCAACTCTCAGAATGGCTGGCT